CTGACCAGGCGCCAGGTGGCGCAGATCGTGCTGGAACTGCTGGTGTGCGGGGCGCACCCGCCCCCGCTGGGGGCGTGGGACGCCCCTCAGTGCCTGCTCCAGTCGCGCTCCTGGCCAGTCTTTTTGAGCCAGGCCGAGGCTCTGCTTTCGCTAGCCATGCTGCTGCGCCTCTACCTGGTGCCGCGGGCAGTGCTGCTGCGCAGCGGCGTGCTGCTCAACGCCTCTTACCGCAGCATTGGAGCCCTCAACCGAGTGCGCTTCCGACACTGGTTCGTGGCCAAGCTGTACATGAACACGCACCCAGGCCGGCTCCTGCTGGCCCTCACCCTCGGCCTCTGGCTCACCACTGCCTGGGTGCTCTCCGTGGCCGAGAGGTGAGCTCAGCAGGGGCTCCCGGAACAGAGGGATGGGAAGGGGTGGGGCAGGAGAGGGAGAGACCACTCTCCCCATCTGGAGCCGAGAGTAAAGTGTCTTCCCAGAAGCCCAGATGACACTTCGGAGGGACCTCCGCAATTGAGAGGCAGCAGTGCCTAGGGGCCCTCAAGGTAGAGCTGGGAAGAAGCAAAAGGGATTTGGGAGTCCCTCAAACCCACAGACCATCTGCTCCTCCCTTAGACACAGATGGTTTCCATGGAGGTGTTACCCCCCCCGCCGCACACACACACGGCGGCGACGGGGGGGGGGGGGGTGGACAGCAAAAGGAGATACAAAGACACAGCCCCATTCAAGGGGGAGCACATTGTGTACCCTAAATAATAATTCCTTGGGGTTCTAGGACTAGAGCAGAAAAGGCATGGACCTAGGGGGTGGGACCTGGAGCAGAAATGTCAAAGACTTGGGCACCTGGCTGGCTGATCCCACTGAGTTGCTGGACAACATGCATTTACTCTTATTCCTCTTCAATCTGTAAGATGGGTGCAAGGAAGAATATTTATGTCAGCACCTGTGAGTCCCAAGAAAGACAGAAGGCAAGACCTCATCCCCAGCTGCTGACTAGTTCCTAGTCTAGTGAAGAATTGACAGTTGAGGATATTAGCAGTGGTTCAGCCTCTGGGTGAAAGAGTGAAAACACTCTTCCAGGCTATAACAATCAGGAAGTAGGAAGGGCAACCTCAGGTAGGCCTTGAAGGATAAACATCTTAGAGGAAAGGACACTAGAGAGGCGTAGCAGCACCTTGCACAATACAGGCTGAGGGACTGGCCCAGGGGCACACTGAGAGGGAGGTACAGCTGGGGGGAGGGGGATGCACCTGAACACAGATGGTTTCCATGGAGGTGTTACCCCACCACACACACCCACGGGGGGGGGGAGGACAGGAAGAGGAGTTACAAAGACACAGCCCTATTCAAGGGAAGCACATTACGAACCCCAAATGATAGCTGCTCAGGGTTCTAGGACAGAGCAGAAAAGGAATAGAATGTCAACTAGACCTAGGGGGTAGGGCCTTGAGGACTTTGGGGTGGTTCAAGAGGTGGGGACATATAAGACATTTGGAAGAGAGTCAAGGGGAGGCTCATCCCCCAAGGCATCATGGGAGCCAGGGCAAAGGCTCCAAATTCATCTTCCTTTCCCTGCTCCCCTCTCCCCAACTCCCTCCCCAGGCAGGCGATCAATGCCACTGGGCACCTGACGGACACTCTGTGGCTCATCCCCATCACCTTCCTGACCATCGGCTACGGAGATGTGGTTCCAGGCACCGTATGGGGGAAGATTGTCTGTCTTTGCACAGGGGTTATGGTAAGTCCCCTTGAAGACCTCCCATCTCTTACCGCTTGCTCTTGAGGGACCCAGGTCTTTGCTCATTTGCCTGGATGTCAGAACTGGAAGGGACCAGAACAGAGAATACGAGCTGGGAGGGAGCTGAAGTCCTCAAGTAGAAAAACTAAGGCCCCAAAGGGGAAATGACATGGAGAAACTGAGACTAGAATCCACAGATCCAGACACTTTGTGCAAGGCTCCATTACCTAAAAAAATCAGACTACCCACACACACATACACACACACACAACCCAACACACTCCTGAATTTTTCCCTGGCTCACAGGGCGTGTGCTGTACAGCTCTCCTAGTGGCTGTAGTGGCCCGAAAGCTGGAATTCAATAAAGCAGAGAAACACGTCCACAATTTCATGATGGATATTCAGTATGCCAAAGAGGTGAGGACATCGGTGACACCCCCCCCCGCCCCCGCCTCTCCAGACCCAGGTAGCCAGCTTTTCCAAAGCTCAGATAGGATCCAGCTGTCCTGATCCTCCAGGCCTGACCTAACCCTCCCAGGGACCCAAGGGTCCTGATACCCCAGCTCCCAGTGCCCTTAGAGACCCAGGAGTCTGGGCTGCCAGCACCCACTGAAGCTGTGCTTTTCCAAAAGATGAGGGATTCTGCAGCCCGAGTGCTCCAAGAGGCCTGGATGTTCTACACACACAGTAGAAGGAAGGAGTCTGGAGCAGCCCGGAGACACCAACGGAAATTGCTAGCTGCCATCCACATGTGAGGCCTGGCTGAGGCAGTGGGGGCAGGGGAGAGGGGAAGCTATAGGTACGAGTGTGTGTGTGTGTGTGTGTGTGTGTGTGTGTGTGCAACTTCCTGGAATGAGGATGGGCTTGGTGTTGGAGTGAGGACGGTGATGAACTGCAGAGGACTGACGAGGATTGGGTTGGAAGAGCATGGAGGTGCCATGAGCACCAATCACTTCACTTATCTTCACGCAGATTCCGTCAGGTGCGCTTAAAACATCGGAAGCTCCGAGAACAAGTGAACTCCATGGTGGACATCTCAAAGGTAAGGTAGAGGACAGAAATAGGCAGAGATATTGGAAAGAGTGATACAGACATAGTGAGATGGGGGATGAAGAGACCAGGAGACAGAGGAATGGGGAGATGGAGGGATGTGGGTACAAAGGAGTGAGGGAGAGATGGGGGACAGAATGATGGAGTACAGGGGAAAGGGGATGCAGGGATGCAGAGACAGAAGGACGAGGGGAAGAGAGATGAAGTATAGAAGGATTGGAATCAGAGGAACAGGACTGGGACCAGACACTAGTAGGAGAGAGGCATCATGGGAAAGCCTTCTTTGCCCCCCGCACCTCTTGATAAAGCCACCTCTTCCCCTCCCTCAGATGCACATGATCCTGTGTGACTTGCAATCTGGCCTCAGCACTTCCCACAGAGACCTGGAGAAGCGAATGGATATACTAGGGGGAAAACTTGACACCCTGACCCAACTCCTCGGTGCAGCCTTAGAACCTGGGCAGCCCCCAGAGCCCAGGGAGGCCACATAGTTGGTAAGGAGACTCCTGCCCTCAAGGGTCCCCAGGCACATCCAGGTTAGGTGCAGTCAGAGAGCGCTCAGCTCATGCAGGAAAGTGGCCTTCAACACAGTTCAGAAGGAGGATTAGAGAGGCCAGTGGAGCAGACAGCTCTGATGAAAGCTCAGTGCCAAATAGGGGGTGTGGCTTCTGCCCCAGAATCACCCAGGCCTGAACCATTCCCCCATCACTCAAATCCTGCCTTTGCAAAGGCTGTGCCTTCCTCCAAGCCAGATCTGGGCAAAAAGGTGAGGGTGGGAATGAGTGTGAAGGAGAGGGAACGTGATTTGTCCCAGCCTCTGGCTGCTCAAAGGAGCCCTTCCTCTGCGTTAGCTCTGCCTGACTCAGTCTGACTGTCTCTCTCACTCTGTTGTCCTTCTCTCTCTCTCTCTCTTTTTTTAAGTTAGGCAATGGGGTTAAGTGACTTGCCCAGGGTCACACAGCTTTCTCTGCTTTTCTATATGTGTGATAAGGTGTATTTTTTTTGTCTTTGTCCAAATGGGTGCTTTTCTGTTTTTTTGTACTTCACTAAGAGTATGTGTGCACCTAACTTTCTTCTCCTTCTCCTTCTCTCTCTCTCTCTCTCCCTAGGGACTACGAAGAGGGAACCTACCTCCTTCAGTCCCCAGGGACAGGCTGGTCATCCCCTTTCACTTCATCAGAAGCATTACAGAGGGACCCAGATCTAGGGAGTCCCTCTCTCCAACAGCTGCTACAGTCCCTGGCTGGGCCAGGGGTACCCACACTCACCCAAGCAATGGAAGGGGTGAATTTCAAAGCTGCTACAGAGCTGGAGAGTCAAGGAACCCAGGAGCTACAGAACACAGGCCTTCTCCAAGTCACACCACAACTAAGGAGCAGAAGGAAGGAGAGACCCTGGGGAGGAGGCAGGAGCTGGGGGCCCCACAGCTCTCTTTCCCTGGAAGCCCTGATGCCTGGGTCTGTGCAGTGGGAGGTTGCTGGATGCCTAGATCCCTGCCAGGGACAACAGACTGAGAGGGCTGGACACTTAGGTCCCTGTCCTCAGCAGCTGCTGGACAGCTGAAGAGTAAAGGGGTCCAGTGTGGGGAGCGGTGGGGTAGAGGCTCCCAGGAGCCACAAGCGGCCTGGGGCACCCCCTAGTGGGGACAGCGAAGGGAAGTGGGCAGACTGAGCCCCTGGGGGGAATCGCGCCAGAGCTTCCCAGCTTTCCCCTTCCCCCCTCCCTCGGCCCCACTTTGTAATAAAAGTTAATAGCAAGGAACAGAGGGATGTTGTTCCTTCCTTTAAAGTATTTCTGGCCTCCCAAGGCCAACAGAGACCTTGTCTTCGAAGGGCAGAGGCAGACACAGAGCGAGCATCCCCAGGTTTCAGGCCACCACTGCCACTGATTCACTGAGTGACTCTGAGCAAATCCCTTTGGGGCTTGGCTCCCTCCTCGGTAAGCTGAGGGGGCTGAACTCCATAACTTCCAGAGTCCCTTCCCCGCTCTGATCCGATCATACTAGCAATATGAAAACAGTGAATCAGCTGTCACTGGAGATATTGTACGATGTCAGCACTAGAAGGTACTGTGCAGTCCTGCCCTCTCCTTTTCACAGGTGAGGAAATAAGGCTTAGGGAGAGGGACTTGCCCAAGGTCATACATCGAATGTTGCTCAGGTAAGGGATTGGACTAGAGGTCCCCAAGGTCCCTTCAACTCTGTGAAATGATAGCAGGAGAAGAGATTTGGAGAATCATAAAGTATCAAAAACGAGTGATTGCTATACAATATCACTAGAACAGCTGGCACCACCCACATTGGTCAAATTCCCTTTAAGGAAAACGTAAGACCTAAGTCTGGTCTTACCTCCAAATGGAGACTACCATTAAATCAGCCAAGGTTCCTGAGAAGGGAGTTAATGAAATAGGCCAATGAGGGCATTGGGGCGGTCCCAAGGCACCCCCATTATTTGCTTAAGTTACCTCACTAGGATAAGGTCTCTGACCCCATCTGTAAAATGGACTAGGGGGGCAGCTAGGTGGTGCAATGGATAGAGCATTGGCCCTGGAATCAGGAGGACCTGAGTTCAAATCCGGCCTCAGCCACATAACCCTTACTGGCTGTGTGACCCTAGGCAAGTCACTTAACCCCAACTGCCTCACCAAAAGATGAAATAAAATGGACTAGGTGATATCTAAGCCCCACCCCCCCACCTCTGAAACTTTCAATTGTAAAGAAAACAAGGGAGAATGAGTAAGACAAGGAGAAAATTAAACAGGACAACCGAGAATGTCAGAGGAAGGAGAACATGGGACGTCAAAGGTGGGAGGGACCTTCAAATATCCAATATCAGAGACCCTCTAATCCAAGATCTTCATTTTCACAGGTGCAATATATGAGGGCCAGAGAGGGAAAGTAAGGTTCTTAAGGCCACCCAATAATTATGTTTGTTTTTTCACAAGGCAATCAGGGTTAAGCGACTTGCCCAGGGTCACACAGCTATTAAGTGTCCGAAACTGGATTTGAACTCAGATTCTCCTGACTCCAGGGCTGGTGCTCTATCCACTGAACCACCTAGCTGCCCCTCCCCCAGTAAACTGATAATGAATAGGAGTTAGACCTTAGGGAAGGGCTGCCCTACCTTATGCCACCCCCTTGTTTGTCTTGGCCTGAGGGATGCACAAGGAATAGTGGGTGGAAGTTACCGAGGCTGACTTCAGTTTGACGTCAAAAGAACCATCCTCCCCATCAGAGCTGCTCCAAAGCGGAAGGGAGCTAGTGGGGTGGGTTCCCCCAAACAAAGGTCAAAGGACCACTTCTTGGCTGGGATACACAGGGTTCAGTCGGTCCAGGACAGAGGTTGTGAACCTAAGGTCCAGAGATGTATTTCAAGGGTCCATGAACTTGATGAAAAAAAAATTACATCTTTCATTCCACTAACTCATAGCTGAAATTAGCATTTCCTTCCATTATAAATGTAGGCAGCAAACATTATTCTAAGGGGTCCATAGGTTTCACTGGGAAGAGGTCTATGACACATACACAAAAGATTAAGAGATGTCAGGATTCTGAGGTCCCTTCCAGCTGTAAGATTCTGTGAATTAGTGAATTTACAATCTAAATCACTTCCCTCCAATGCTTTACATGTTGCTTTTTACTCTGCTCTCCAGGGCCAATCAGGGCAAGTCTAAGATCTTCTCAAGATGTCTACAGATCAAATACTTAAAGGCAGGGACCATACTTCTCTTGTCCAAGATAAAACATCCCAAGTTCCTGTACAAGAAGGACCCTGTGAACAAAGAATATAGGATGTAAGAGCAGGGAGAGAAAGAAATTGAAGGGAACATCTAGCCTAACCTTTTCACTTCACATGTAAAAAAATCTCTGAAACTCAGAGGAAAATTCACTTTCCTGAGGTCATCCAGAAATTAAGGCCAGAACTGAGATCACCCCACCCCACCACCACCCCTTTGTTTTCCTTGGCCCCAAGTAATCCACTTAAGGTACGAGAAGCAAATACAGGCTTGCTGAAGTGCCCTGAAGTGAATGGGCAGCCTCAGGACGGTGGGTTCTTCCTCATGGGAGGCTTTCGTGTCAAGGCTGGAGGAGGACTACTTGTTAACCAGGTATATTGTAGAGCAGAGGTGTCAGACACTGGCCCCCAGACTGCATTGTGCTAACTGAATCAGATCAAGATGTAACAGAAAGGTTTAACAAAATACATAAAATTAGAACATGTGGTTATCTAAGTCAGCGTGCACCCATAGGGATTCTCCAGCAGGGCTGAACAGCCTGATTTCTTTTTGAGTCTGACACTGGAGCTGTAGAGGCCCAAGTCTGTCTAGAATGACAAGATTCTGCTCCTCTGGGTGAACTCCCAGGACACAAAGCTTCTCTGTAACTCTTCCCAGTTGGCTTCTCGTTTAGCCCTCGAGGCTAGGCAGAACAAATCTAATCTCTTCTTGGGGTGACAGAGATGACAACCAACAGGCCTCCCATCCCTCCCTAAGCCTTCTCTTCTCCAAACCAAACAGTCCCAGTTCCTACACAAAACCAATCAATCCACAAGCATTTATTAAGTTCCTGTTATGAGCCAGACATCTGTGATAAGGGTCAGAGATATAAGTAAAATAAATAAAAGGGATTTAAAAACATAGATTGTAGAGCAGGAAGGGCCTTTTGGACGGAGAACATAGGATGTCAGAGCAGGGAGGACTCTGGAGATTAACTAGGCTGACCTCTTCACTTTACAAGTGAGAAATCTGAGAAACTGACTTTCCCAAGGTCATCCAGTAAATCAATGACAGAACAGGAATAAGAACTCAGGAGAGATCCAATCCACGCCACCTTCCATCCATGGCCAAGACTCTCCCTCTTTTCTCTAGAAATATTTGCTTTTCAGACTATGGCCTCCCCAGTTTACCCAGCCCTAAAGTTATCAGCCTAGTATCTCCAGGACACACCTTGGAGGCAGCCTGGTCTCCCTGGATGGTGGCCAAGGGAAGGGATTTCAAGGGTTGTTGACAGCCGTGTTGGCCCCCTAGAAAACACCATTGGCTTCCACAGCACCTCCCACAGAAGGGCTCCCTACTATACTCCACATTCTAAAGTCCCTCGCACAGTCTATATTCTAAGCCCCTTTCAGAATTGATCTTTTCATTACCAAATTCATTGGCCTTTTCTCAATCCTCATCCTTTTTGACCTCTCTGCGGCCTTTGACATTGTGAGTCACTCTCCTCCCAGATAGGCTCTCCTCTCTGGGTTTTTGCTCTCCTCTCTGGGTTTTTCTGACACTGTTTTCTCCTGTGGACTGGTTCTCCAGTCCTTCTGACCACTCCATATCAGACTCCTTTGCTGATTCTCATTCCATATGATGACCACTAACCGGGAGTATCCCCTAGGGGCATGCTGGAGGCAGCTTGAACTGGAAAGAGTTGATTGTTAAATGTTTATGGAAAGCATCATCAAACACTACACAATCAGGGCTTGATCTGTTGTTTTGTTCATTTCTACACTTAAGTGATGGGAAAATGTTAATATGCAAATTAAACTTAAGAGTATGTCATTCATACATTGGTGGTTAAACATCTCCTAGCACATCCCTAGCCAAGGCTTTGTCCTGGGCCCCCTCCTCTTGCCTTCTAGTCTTGCTTTCTTGGTGATCTCATCACCTCCCAAGGGTTCAGTTACCATCTCTGTAGACACTTCCCAGCCCTAGTCTCTCTCCTGAGCTGCAGTTACATCTGCATCTTGGACATCTCAAATCGGGTGCCCCACTGGCATCTCAAACTCACCGCGTCCAAAGCAGAACCCCTTCTCTCCCCCTCAAACCATCCTCTCTTCCCAACACTCCTGTGACAGTGCTCCCATCCCCCTCCCCAGTCACTCAGGCCTACAACCTGTCATTCTCAACTCTTCACTTTCACTCCTCTTACATATCCAATCTGTAAGTCTTGTTTAGATTTTCCTAACATCTCCTCCATGCCCCTCCTTGTCTCAACTCACACAGCTAGAACCCTAGTCCAGGTTCCTGAAACAGCTTTCTATTTGAAAAAGGCTTCCTTCCCCTCAAAGACTGCCATTTTATACAACAAATAGTATTTTTTAAAGAAAAAAAAATGAGGAAAATTCAGCACAGCTGAAGAATATATCGAAAAAGTCTGAAAACGTGGCCCTCTCAATTCTGCCAGGGGATAGGAGTGTCTTGTCACGTCTCTTCTTTGGAGCTGGGCTTGTTCTGTAAAATCTGGCAACATTCACTTTTGATTTTTTCATGCAGTAGTTCTTTCCACTCACTGAGAGTTACAAATTGCTTTATAAATGTTATCTCATTGGATCTTCACAACCACCCTGGGAACTAGGTGCTATTTCATCCTCCACTGAGCAGACAGCTCTGAAATGAGCCGGACAGCGTCACACAGCTGTTACGTCAGGCAGTGTCTGAACGAGGGTCTTCCTGACTATAAGCCTAGCACTCCGTGTCCTGCCAACCTAGCCTGGCTGGCCCTCAAGGCCGCCCTCCCCTTGAAGTAGCTTTCCGAGTGGTCTTCCTGCTGGAAGGCTCTCCCCTCTCCAATACATCTTCCACTCAGCTACCAAAGAGATTTTCCTAAAGCACAGGAATGACCATGTGACCTCCTACCCAGTGAACTCCAAGGCTCTTTATAAAACCATCAGTTTGGCATGCGTAGCTCTTTATGGCCTGGCTCTTTCCTGCCTTTCCAGTCCTTTTACACTTCAGTACCTTCCCACCTTCCATGATCCATCGATACTAGTCAACACA